CAACTGTAACTTTGCATAGGGACACCAGGTCCTGGGGGCATCATTCCAAACCAAAGGTTCTCAAACTGTGTTCCAACAAGACTTGTAGAATGCAGATTTTAGGCCAACCCCTAGACAAACTGGATTAGAAATGCCAGAGCAAAGCCCATCAAGGTCGTTTGAAAGAGATTCCAGGTCATTCCAAGATACACATTTGCCAACTACTGACCCAGTAGACAGTGCAGCCTAGAGAGGGCCTGGGGCTAGTTGTGGGCACCTTGTCTGGACTACTGAACTTGGACCCCTTCCCCATACAAAACCAAACGGAACTAACTCTGTGATGTCTCCTTTTCCCCAAAGCTGGGGGGTTATGAGACTTGCCCTTTCCTGCCTCTGGCTTAGTCCCAGCTCTGTTCACCTCCCCCACTAACTAGGTTTTACAAAAGTCTGGGTACCTGGTGTCAGCAGGCCAGAGGACAATGGAGGCAAAGAACCTGTTTATGCCTGGGCAAGCTCACTATAGCTACATGAGTTTCCAATAGAAAAGAAACCGAATTCCACTAGAAGAGAATCCAATGTCCCCAGCCCCTCCTCCTCTTCTTCCTCTTCCTCTTCCTCCTCTCCTTCCTCCTCCTCCTCCTCCTCCTCCTCCTTTTCTGCCCCTTCTCCCCTCCTCCTCTTCTTCTTAATCCCAGGGAGACCTTGTGGACAGTGCCAAAAATAGCTCCAACCCCAGCAACTGAAAAAGAGAACCAGAAATTATCTTTCCTCAGCATTCTGCTCCCTCCCATACTGTGCCAATTCCCCTTCTTGCTCAGCCTGGTCTCCTGGTGAGGGCCTTAGGGTATCCCTCAGAAGGGAAGGGACCAAGGGCATCCTTGGGCCAGCTGTCCACCTCTTCCTCTACTGTTCTCATTTCTTCCCAGGATGGATTGGGTGCTAGGAGGACCACAGTCCAATCTACCAGCTCTTCCCTGCCCTGTGTCTTATTTCAGACATGAGTAAAACTGTACAGTGTAAACTTACAAAGTGTTTTTAATGGTTGTAGATTGGAAATAAAGTATGTCATATGAACAGTGGTCATTGATTTTGTCTCTCTTGAGTTCTCTAGTAGGGATCCACCCCAGATTTGAAACCAGACTCTACCTCACTGGCAGTGCCTGGGAAGAGGCGGAGCAGGGGCCAAATGGCTGGTTAAAGTTATGGGAGGGACCATCAGGTGTTCTGGCTGCTGACTGCTGGGGACTCAGTGTCTCCCATGAAGTGTGTTATGGTCACCAAGAAACAAATGGCAGGATATTCAAGAGGGGAAAAAAAAAAGTTGGGCATGATGTGTATATCTGTAGTCCCAGCATGCAAGAATCTGGTGTAGGAGAATCACACATTCCAGGCCTAGGCTACATAATGACACACCATCTTAAAAAAACAAAAACCTAAGAAGGAGAAGAGGAGGAAAGGAAAGCAGAAGAACAAAAACTAAGTTTATGTCAGTGGCTCTGGATCCGGAATTCAGGAGCTGGATTGTTTGCACTTTTGGGGAGAGAGAGGAGGAGTCAATTTAGGGCTATTCTACTGAATGCTATATTAGATAAATGCTAGGCCACTTAACTATACTCCTGCCTGTGCTGCAGTTATTTGAATACCTGATAAGAGCTGGAAGATCCATTTGCAAAGTGGCAAGTCCATGTACTGGGCAAGTCTGTGCTGGCTGTTGGCAAGGGACCTCAGTTCCTCAAAGTGTGAAACTCCCCCTGTGTCCTTATAATATGGAAGTGAGCAAGTGATCTACGAGAAAGTGGAACAGGAAATCCTATCTTTTATGATTAAGCTTTAAAAGTCACACACTATCATTTCTATAATATCTTACCAGTTATACAAACCTTCATTTTTTTCCCATGTAGAAGGGAACTGCACAGACACAAGAACACTAGGAAACAAGTCATTAAGGGCCTGCCACATGTCACTTTTATAGATCTCTTTTTAACAGTCCGATCTGTGCCAGGCATCACGGAAACAATAGATGTGCCTAGAAAATAGGATATCAAATATCAACGGCAGGAGGGAGCCCAGGGGAATCAGGAAAGGCTTCTCAGAAAAAAAAAAAAAAAGGTGAGAGGGATGGTAGCAGATTGTAGAAAAGATAGATGAGGTGGTTCTGGAGAAAAAACAAACTAGAACTTGGTATAATGAGAGTGGAGCATAGCACAACTGGAAGAATGAAGGAAGTCTGACAGCAGCAGAACAGGGAATGATGAAAGAAGGCTGGGTCAGATCTCACTGACTTGTGAGGGAAGAGCTTCTCTGTCCTGTGGACAGGAGAGAGCCATGGGAGAATTCAAAGCAGGGAAAGAACACGGTCACAGGTTTACTAGGTCTGGATTTTATGAAGAAATATTCTTAGCATGCCCCTCGATGGCCAGCCCTAGCTGGGAGTACTGAGTTTTCTTGGGACTGTTTAAGAAGGGGCCAGGGAGCACTGTTCACAATAGCTAGGATATGGAAACAACCCAGATGCCCCACCACAGATGAATGGATCCAAAAATTGTGGTATCTATACACAATGGAATATTATGCAGCCATTAGAAATGACAAAATAATGGCATTTGCAGGGAAATGGATGGAGCTAGAAGGAATCATGTTGAGCGAGGTAAGCCAAGAGCGAAGAGACAAACGGTACATGGTCTCCCTGATAAGTGGATGATAAATCCAAAATGTTAGGTGATACGACAAAACTAACAGGACTTAAGAAACAAAGAACTCCTGCTCATCTGGTTGAACCACTACTAAATATCCCCACGCTGCTGATCACATGTATGGTGTATAACATGTGAACACTGTTATATATTACAGACTGTGATAGACAATTTGTTCCAGGAAAGTTAGAATGAACTTGTGACTTAGAAACTATGTAATCACTTAATCACAATCAAAAAAAAAAAAAAAAAAAAACTTCGGGGAAGGGGGGGGGGGGGGGGAGGGTAGGGGGAAAACAATGGAGGGGCTAACAATGTTCAAGAGGAAGTGTACTCATTACCTCACTCATGTAACTGTAACCCTCTGTATAGTATCTTTACAATAAAAAAAAAAAAAAAGGACACGGCAAAAAAAAAAAAAAAAAAAGAAGGGGCCAGGGGGCTGGGAAGGTGGTGCAGTGGTAGAGTGCTTGCTTTGCATGCATGAGGATTCCTCAGCACCACATAAGCAGAAAAAGCCTGAAGTGGGCTCTATAGTTCAAATGGTAGAGCTCTAGCCTTGAGCTGAAGAGCTGAGGGACAGCGCCCAGGCCCAGAATTCAGGCCGCACCACCTACAAAAAAAAAGAATGGGGCCAGGACCAGAAGGAACTGAGTATCTTTGAGCCCCAGGAAGTTACATTTAAGGAACCAAGAATAAATCTCTTCTTTTGGACTACTGCTGAAGCCAGCAGGCTGGAAAGTAGGGTGGAAATTTCAGAGAGGCAGATTTCTGCTTTTTACCAGAAAACTTTTCCAACCATAGCTGCTATGCAAGTAAGAAAGGCTAAATTAGGGCCAATGAGGCATGAGCCCCACAAACCAGGAGCTAAGAATAAACACTATAAGTAGGGAACTTCAAGTCTCTCACTCCCCCATTAGGCTACAGCAGCTGCCCATGCTCTTAACATTAATGATTTCCCCAGGGTTCTGGATAAGCAAGCCCTGAGAGAGTATCTCAAGAAAAACATCTGGCAAAACTTATCTTAGGAATCCTTATTAATGGAAAATATCTCCTGACAATGGGCTTTTAGACCCTAAATAAATACCTTTTAAAATAAAGCACCTGGTAGATTGTCAAGTATTCATCATCTATGCCAACTAAGGAGAGTTGGTCATTGGGATTCCCAACTTAACAGTTCTAAGAACATATACAATGCAGCTAGAGGAGGGTTGTCACACAAATGATTAACATGCCAGATGGTTGAAAGGAAGAAGACTGCACAGACAATCACGTATAACTCCTAGACTGACTGAAGCCTTAAATAGGCCTGACACAAAGAACTTGGCAACTTCTCATACTCCCACATCTCCAGCCTGTTGGGGGTGGGGGTTGCTTTTGTTTCTGCTTTTCTGTTTTGTTTACTTGCTTTGCTAAATAAAACTTCTATAAACTCAGCTAACTGGACTCATTCTTTAGTTCTTTGCCATATTACCGCTTGCATTGGGGCCGTGAAATATGGCAACCCATGTTGAGGTTCATGCTAAGAACTTCCTTGGCTTTGAACCAGTCCTGATGCACTGAGGAAGAAGCCTGCTTTGCTGATCCTTCTAGGCCAGCAAGGGGAAATGGAGCAGACAGATGGAGCTCCTGGGAAGAGTGATTGAAACACCTGGTTTCCAGCATGGGGCTACAGAGAAGGCCATGAGGTTTCTTTAGGTGAGGCTAAAAAATGGGGATATTTGCTAGGACTGAAAGGGGAAAACTTCCCAGGCAAAGGGCATGGCTTAAACCAAGAGACCCTCTGGGTGGCCAGAGGAGTTGTGAACAGTTTAGAGAGGCCAACCCCATAATAGAATTGGCAAGTTCTTGAATGTTGCCCTATATTGAAGGGGGCTGCTGAAGTGAAGTGGATAGGACGGGGGCAAACCGAGCTCAGAGCCCTAGTTCACCCTGTGAGGACTCTGGGTCCACATTAGGAGTTGAGATAAAGGGAGGAGGGACCATAGCTTAGCGGTGCAGGTAGGGCATCAAAGGGCTCTATAGTCCTTCCGCGGGTATTTGTCTGGGCCTCTGTTTCCTGATCATCGAAGCAGGGATCTGAGGCCTAGCAGACAGGGATCTGAGGCCTATCAGACGCAAAAGGACATCATAGCGGGGTGTGTCCATAAGAAGACTCCTGGGGTGGTAACACAGACACCGCTAGAGGGAAGCAAAGACGTGGAAGATGGGAGCTGGGCGGGCAAGAGCGGAAGCACGAGTGTACGCATGCGTCTTTCCAGGGCTTGGCGATATGAGCGCGCATGCCCGAGAGGCCGAGGACCGCGCATGCGTCATTGGTTGGCGGGAGTTTCGGAAGTGGTGGTGACGTAAACAGCGCACCTAGACGTACCGGAGAGGGGACGAAGTGGCGCCGGAGATCCAGAGGTGATCTGGGAGTGCAGAGCCTGTGGCCTTGCGTTTCAGGGATGGGGGTCTCCGGGCTGGACGGGCGTCACTCTGAGGTCCGGAAGTCGCCGGCCTCTCCCCGGATGTGGTCTAATGAACTCCCCCTAATTAGGCTCGCGGCCCGGCGGAGCACGGTGCTCTCGACGGTGGGCTTTAGGGGGGCCTCCAGGGTGCCTTCCGGATGGAAGCAGTTCTGAGGCGAGCTACGCCTCGGGCTCGGGCACACGTGGCGGCTAGACTCCAGAAAAGTTCTAAGAAAAGTAGCCGGGGACTGGGCCGAGGGCGGGGGGCGTCGCCACGGCCGAGCGCCTGCACCGGTGCCCTGGGCGGGCTCTCTCCAAGCCCGGGACCCTCCGATGGAGTGTGGAGTAGCGTCTCCAATTATGGCCCAGGTCCCGGCGGCGTATAAGCACACGGAAATGACTGCCTTCGCGGCTTGAGGCTGTGTAATAGTCATAAGGACCATGGGGATTTAGATCTTTGAAGGACTCATCGTTGCCCTGTGAACCTTTTCATAGTGTCCTCATCTATTCATTTTCTTTACTAGAAAGCTCTGGGCGGGAGAGCTAAGATGGAAGATGAAGAGCCACTTTACTTGTTTCCCTGCTCGTTTCCAAGTCAGTTGTTTGTGACAGATGCTGGGCATACAGCCTGGCTAGGGAGTCAGACATGTAAACCCATTGTACAACCAGCACTAGGGAGGTCAAGGGGGTGTGGCCCCCAAATCTGACAAAGACAAGTGATTTCCTATTTAAGCCACCATGGGAAGGAAAGATATGTTTCATAGGTGGGATGATATATGCATTCAGAAATTCACAAGTAGTACAGGAATACAAGTGTGAGGAAAGAGCAGGAATGGGTAGGCTGGGATTCGTTTATGACAAGGTGTTGAGTACACTTCAGAAAAATTTACTTCAGCTGTCTGTAGGAATGCATTGGGCTGGAGCAGTGTTAGATAATGGGGTGGACAGAGAGGGTAGAAATGAAGAGACCTGAACTCAGCTTGGAGTAGTAAGTGGGCAAGGAGGAAAGGTTTTAGAGGTACTTGATAAAATGGATAGGACTTTGGATCTGGAGAGTTAAGAATACAAAGTAAAGAGTAATCTCTTTTTCTAATGAAACTAGGAATGAGGTAGACACAATAATGGGAGGTAAGGTAAGGTATGTGTTTAGGGAGATAGAAGCATTTTTAGCAATAAGTTCTGTAAACATTCAGAATAAGAGACAGTGATTCTAGCTGGTAATTCTGTGGTAGAAATGGGTGAGGGCAATGGAAAGAGGCTCTGGTAGAGAGCAGATGAGCTCATTTTCTTTATTTTCAGAGTTCTCATCCAAGATGACTTCAGTGACCAAATCAGAGATCACAGAAGGTGAGTATGGTAGTGAAATTCAGTACCTTTTGCCTTGGGGTCAGGCTTCTGAGCTATAACAAAATCCTTTCCTGGCTCCAGGTAGATTTGAAATCACATATTCCAAATGTATGCTTCCTCACTATAACTGGTTCTTGGGGCATACAGTTTCTTCCTTTCATTTTTCTTGGGTCTTATTCCAGGCTGGCCCCAAACTCCTGGGCTTAGTTGGTCCTCTTGCCTCAGGTTTCACCTTTTTTCTCATACTTAGTTGTGGGTTTGATTTTGTATTTTGACTTTTCTATAACAAATGCTAGAAGAGGAATCAGAGACGGCTACTCATGATCATCCATTACCATCCAGTCTCAACCGTGTGGAAATGTTTACTAAATCATCTGCCTCCCTGGAGACGACTCAAGGCATTTCAAAGGGAAGAAGTCACCTTGGCTCTGGCCCTGAAAAGGGGGCAAGTTGTGATGTCTGCCACCAGGAAGGACTTCAGTTGAGGTCTTTTCATTTGTCCCCTCAAGAACAGTCTGTCCGTCATCAAGACAGAAGGCAATCCTGGCGACGAGCAAGTATGAAAGAAGTAAACCGGCGGAAGTCCCTACCTCCCTTTCACCAGGGCATTACAGGTGGGGTGCTGTGTACATTAGACAGTGAGGTTCCAGCTCCAATAAGAGTCAGAAAGGAATGGCAAAGTTAGCAAACTAGATGTCACTCTGTTATTCTGTAGCTCTTGTGACTTTGAAAAAATTGTCAGCTCTTTGAGCCTCAGTTTCCTCACCTGTAAGATGAAGCTAACACTACTTACATGTGGGTATGGTCTGCCTTTGTAAGTTCTGATACTGCACACCCAGTAAGTGCTCAATATTATTGCTATTTCATTGAAGTACTCAACCTCAGTTAGAATGATGAACAGTAGAGGGGGCTGGGGAGGTGGCTCGGTGGTAGAGCGCTTGCCTTGCATGCATGAGGCCCTGGGTTCAATTCCTCAGCACCACATAAGCAAAAAGAAAAAAGCCGGAAGTGGCGCTGTGGCTCAAG